GACACTGCAAACATTGAAGAGTAGATTTGTTTCACTGAGCATTGACATAGTTGATACGGGAGAAGCTGAAGACTTATGGAAGGATTCTCAACTTGCAGCTAGCGAGGAAGAGATGTCGCCAGTTCCAGTGGATCCCAAGATAGATATTCAAGTTGAGGTAACAATAATCATTTTGGAAGATAGTGACCTCAAGGTGATGAGCATTCAAGCAGAGTATGAAACTGTGATACTTCAAGATACCGTTTCACAGACGTTGATAGGAGCTACAACAAGACTGACTTTGGCGGTCCAGAAGGATCACGAGCTTAAGGAGCCGACATCAGATACAGGGTCACCACAAATACGAGAAATACAACTTTTTCAGATGGTTAGACCTCTTCCTAAGTTATCTCTACAGGGGGAGGTCCAACATGTCCGAAGAGGAGTCATTTTGTGCTATGTTGGGAAAATTACGTGGAGTTACTTATAGGCTATTTCTCGTTCCGCATGGTACCCCTCGTCAAATGTTCGGACAGGAGAATGAACCCCAACTTTGTAATGGGCCCGAGGTGTTTGATGGGGATGAAAATTCTGCACTGGGATCCATGTCCTATTTGTGGGGAGGTGGTCTCTTCCGAGGGGGTGCTAATGAGAGTGGCGCAGCTTGCCATAGATTTCATCCCAAAATTGAGTTCTCCTTACATACTTGTCGCTCAACCACGAGAGTTGCATTACGGGAAACCCCTCTATATGCAGCTCTCGCTTGAGATGCGCTAAAAGAGGATGGCTATCTATTCTACCATAATGTGTTGTGGAATGACTACACCGACATGATCAATCTACCAGAGGACTTACCGCTGTACTATGAGGATTCAGAAGCTTCGATGAACGAGGTTAAAGCTCCCCTAATCTCGGGAGAATGACATAAGGGTTTTACTTCCTCTTTCCTCTTTCCTCTTTCCTCTTTCCTTTTTGTCTTCCTTTCCTTTTCTAACATTTTTTTTTTCTCCCCCACTTTTTCTTAATAAGCACTTTTTAAATTTAAATCCTTTCCTAAAATATGAATTATGATTTTATTCTCTTCTTATTTTAAAAAGCCTTTTCCTAAATTATGAAATCTGATTTTAATCTCCTTCTAATTTTAAAACTCTTGCTTTAAAATCTGAAATCTGATTTTATTTTCTTCCTTATTTTTGAAGTCTTGCCTAAATTCTGAATATGATATTAATCATTTCATATTTTAATCTTTCCTAAAATTGAGTAAAGTTTTTCATAAATAAAAGTTATTGTGTCTAAGGTAAGGGTCTTTATTTTAAATTATGATTTCAGTTTTATCAGAGTATTTTCCCTCCTAAGAGTTGTATCTGATGACAAGAAAGGTGCCCCGACTGTAACCCCGTCCGAGGTGACGTTTATCTTCATTGTTCTTGTTACTGCTCGCAGTCCCGCAGTCCAACGACATTCCAGTCACTCTCCAGTACCTCCGGCCACCTCCCTGCCATACAAACAACCGCCCAACCTGCTCTGCTGCCCCAACTACCCATCCATCTCACTTTTCTGCAGGCCACAACCCCTGCTGTTCTTCCAGACCACCACTAGCCGTTCCTGCAGCCTCCCTGCAGGCTATCCCAGCCCCTGCTGCTCATCCAGACCGCTGTCTTGCAGGTTGCAGTCCCATTGATTTCCTTCCAGCACCCCACCAGCAACTTCCCTACCATCCTGCCATCTGTCGGCTCCCTACCACCACTCCAGACTCTTGCCTCGCCGAGCTTGTTGTGTTTTCATTTGTTGAGTCTTTATCTATGATGTTTTGTTTGACGCTTTGACTTCTGCATTGTATTTCTTTCTTTTGAGTCATCATTGTAATCATGTTTAAGTCATTATTAAAATGGTTTCTTTTGTCATAGTTTGGGTTAAACTCCGCTATCAGGCATTTTAAGGATCTTATAGACTAGGAGAAAGTTTAATGAAGTAGCCTATTTCAATGCAAACTTTAGCTAGGAATTGATGTTATATTAAATGTCTGTATGAATCACAATTTATAGACTTTGTCATTAAAAAACATCAAAGCTTGGTCCTTTATTCTATTACCATGGTTCAAGGTGTGTTTGAGGCATGATCTCTTGACTCAAAAGGATTTTTTCACATCCTTGCTAGCATGAGATTTTAGAGTGTAATCGTTGATCAAATTTGGATTTGTCATTGAATTGTTGCTCATTGATTCTTCTATTGTATGCATTTAATTTATGCATTTATGATTTATAAGTCCTGAATGCTGGAATGCTTTGTTAATAAAAGACCCATTTTGCTCTACTACGCTTTTACGTCGAGTAAAATGGAATCCTGGCGCATCAAGTTTTTGTTAATGCTTTGAAAATAGTGTGCTGCTATTTTGGGTTATGGAGGTTCAAGGTTAGATGTGCATGTAAAATTTACTTGAGCTTTTAGGCATAATTGGGTGGGCGCAAACTGTTACTTTGACTAGATTATCCATGAGATTATGTCTCTTATTTTATATATTATACTTGAGTGTTGTAATCGGGATGGTGTGATTGGCCCTCCCTTCTACAATTTCTAGCAAAGAGTCATGTGAATGCAGATTCGACTGAATATTTTCGAGGTTGATGTCATCTTGAAACATATGTAAAAGAAATGTCCAAATTCTGTTAAAATTCATATGAATACGTGAATGCAGACATAATTGAATAATGGCTTTCACTTGTTTTTCTCACCGTGGTTAAATTACTTGAGCTTATATAAAATAAACTAAATGGACGACAACTAAAAGCAGTAAAAATAGTTCATAAGACCTTTTTAATCACTTATAAACTAATTTGATTTTAAATTGTGCTTAAAATATCTTTAACGCTTACCTGACTGAAAAAATTTGACAACGTTAGAGCTAAATAATGTGTGTATTTTTTTTAATATTACAATTCGACGTATATCAACTGTCTGTTGTATTGACAGCTCAGATTCACAAATAACAGATTCTCTTTCAAAAAAATAAACTTGTAGCAAATAAAGTACAATAATTTTTCCTTTTCATATGCCATTTGACATATATTACATGTCAACATTTACATTTTTGCTCCAGCGCATCAGAATTGTTAAATCCAAATAACATTCACACAGTTAATCAGGCAACGTTAAATATAGCAATTTATTATATGCATTCAGTGTAATGGGATCTAAAGCGTCACCATGCATCTATTTTGATACTTTGAACATGCGAAATAGTACTTCAATTCATTGAAAATTTTGGCAGGTACATTGTTGAGTATCATGAACATGTTACAAATTTTTAAAGAATTATATATGTGAGGTTATAAAATAAATTAGCATGATCATGAATACTTTGTGGTAAATAATAATAAGCATTAAGAGCAATAATTTTGTTAAATTAGAAAATTGATATGGCAACTCACAATTGATCAAAAACAAGATTTTACGGGTTCGGCATTAAGTTCATTTGTCTACGTCCATGAAGAGGGAGATTCTATTAGCATGGATGGTAAGAAAGAAAAATGACTTGGGCTAACAACTTTTGGACTTCACACCACGCCTCACTTATGAACCCTAAGTCCCTTTTATAGAGGAGTATTAGGACATACAAATAAGTAAACCTAAAAGACTTAATTATTCCTAATTACAATAATAGTGATAAATACAACAATCTTTAACTCATCTCTTACTTCCAAATAAGTAAGAGATGACCAAATGAGGTACAAACGGTAATTCAATTGCACCAAGATGATTGCCTACGTACTGCCTTCCTGAAGGGATCAAGCCTCGTACCCCTAATTACAATAAAAGCCATAATACAACAATATTTTGTACTTTCTGTTGTAGATTTGGATGAAAATACATGCATTTTTTATTTTTAAAAATCATATAATCACTGAGAAATAACATTGGCGCATTGCTGGTGTGACAATGTCTATTAAATCCTATTAGAACCTTTTAAAATCAAGAGCAAATAAAATTATACTTCATTTTATCGATAACTTGAACACGATTGGTTGAGTTGAACTATAGTTTTATTATTATTATTATTATTTAATGAAGAGGTTAAGATAATTCAATTAGCTAGCACAACTTTTCAGATGGTAGGAGATGGGGCTTGATAGTGTTTTATTTCTACCACAAATGCACCTTTGAGTTGTTCAGTTTTTATAGATTCTCGATCCTCTTTTCTTCTTTAGCTCTGTTCATCTACAGATGATTCTTCCATCAAATCAATTTGCGTTTGCTGACTCACTTTGTCTCACATTCATTCACCACCTTTTCTTTTTTTAAATCTTTTTTAGTCCTACTAATTTTGGTAATGAGCTTTCAGTACTTCAAATTATTGCACTTCTGTTCTGATAAATTGATACCAAATATTGCATGTTTTTTCCATATTTGCATTGTATATATTAGATTGTTATGTGATTAACAAATTGCATTTAGATTTTGTAGTGGATATCTATAGATAGGAAGTGTGGTGAATTTGACTTGAACATTACACAAAAGTAGCATCATTTTTTTTTCTCGTTCGAAACTAACGACCCAAAAGCTGACTTAAAGTGATTTTAAATTGGATGAGCGTTAGACTAGATCAAAATGCCTTCATGTATGAATACATGTGTGTATATTCATGTATATAATTAAATTTTTATTTATTCATGTCGAAGAATACATATATTTGTTTTCCTGATACATAAGTGTATCTCTATCTATTCATCAAATATAAACTTATATAAACAAAAAAGAATTATGATTTATCTCAAAATAAGCTTTAGATCAGATTTAATGAACTAAACTTAATTCTAATTTGAGATCAGATCAAATTAGTCTTGATATCTGTTTCTTGAAATTCTCATTGAAATGTTTAGCATTGGAGTTCAAGTAAACTTCCACAGAACTTATGATGGATAATAGTTCCACAAAAAAAATTTTTGTTTCATGTGAAATAATCTTATATATGCGTCATTTAATAGCAACAAAACTCTGTTAAAAGGTTATATTGGGGATTTCAGGGTGTCCATGCTGTGAATCTTGGTGACAGCGGCTTCATTATTGTAAGGGATGGATGTGCAGTATTCCGTTCGCCTGTTCAACAACATGACTTCAATTTTACTTATCAGCTTGAGAGTGGAAATTCAAGTGATTTACCAAGCTCTGGTCAGGTCAGTTAATACCTTCTTCCAACTGTCTTTTACTATTCCTTAGTTTGTTTAGGCTTCTTTTGGGAGTCACGACGGTCCGCCATGCGCGGCACCTATTTGTTTAATAAGACTAACACTTGTAAGAACTAAGAACCTCCTTCAAGAGTCTCCCAATAGGATTTTTTCCGTTGATTTTTTTTTTCTTTTTTTGCTTTTGAAATGTTTTTTCTTTGATGGTGGAAGAAGAAATTGTTTAAAAAGCCGTGGGCGCGTCAAATTGAGGCGCACGAAAAAGCCCTGAAGCTTAAGCCTCACTATCACCGGTTTGACTGAGGCGTGTGCCTCAAGACTTTATTCCTTGAGTCATTTGAGGTAGCACTTTGATCAAGTTATACAAAAAAAAAAAAAATGTTATTAATGTATATTATATTATATTTAATATATTTGATAATATGCCTCAAAAAGATCAAAAGTTAATTTAAATATGATTACTTGATTATATTATTAATTTATTTGTTTAAACTTCTATTAATTTTTTGATTAGTTGGCGCCGCATACTCAGATCAGTTGGTCGAACATCTGCTTGTCAGTTGTAAGCCCCCTTTGGTCTGGAGTTCGATTCCCTCCGAGTGTAGGGTGTGGTACTCGAATTCTTAGGCGCATGAGGGATGTTCGGAGCTTGTATAAAAGCCTCTAACCTTTCCTTTTCAACAAAAAAAAAAAAAAAAAAAAAAAAAAAAAAAAAAAAAAAAATTGAGTTTGTTTAAGTTGATTGTAAGAAGAAAATTTTACTTAGTGGAAACATTTTAAAGTGGTAAATGAGACATAATTAGATGATAATAAATATGGTGATTCTTTTGTAGATGATCGAAGCAAGGGTGATTCTTTTCAAGATGATGAAAGCAAGGATGGGGCCCCTATCCATTTTGAACCTCATGAAATATTTAAAATTTAAGTGAATGTTTATCTAGAATCACATTTCAAACTTCTATTTTAATCAATATTTAATATTAAGATTTACGTCTTTATGATGAAAAGTTAATTTAACATATAAATGGTTTCTGTCATATTTATGTCCCGCTTCTTAGGCGCACAAACAACAAATACTCAAACCTTCTGTCATCTTATTCCAGGTGTTTACATTCCCTGTTATTGCTGGAGATGTGATTGTTGCCGGAACCGATGGGCTTTTTGACAACTTGTATAACAACGAGGTGACGGCCATTGTTGTTCATTGCATCAGAGCTGGATTGAGCCCTAAGGATACTGCCCAAAAGATAGCAGCTCTTGCTCGCAAATGTGCTCTCGATAGGAATCGACAGTCCCCTTTCGCAGCTGCTGCCAAAGACGCCGGTTTTCGATACTACGGCGGAAAACTCGACGACATTACCGTCGTCATTTCTTATGTTACTTCGGGCGAGCATTTGAATTGAATGCTTTTCTTCTTTGAACTCTGCTTTTCAAATTCATTTCCTTTTAGTGCCTATTTCTATTCTTAATGTTGACTGCTCTTTTTGTTCATATAATCATAGCATTTGTTGAACATTGATTAGCATCCAAGTTTTAGACAAGAGGGAATAAAATTTAGAGGATTTGGATTATTCTTTGGTGTATTGTGATTTTGGAATATCTCGAGATTCCTCGCTTCGAAATTGACTTAACGGTATTAACCGATCTAGCCTTCGGCTTCACAACTGCATATGTTTATGGAATATGATTCTTATCATTATAAACCCAAGATTTCATAGAAATTTATGCTTGAAAATCATGAAAAAATCTTGATAAATTTCAACTATGTTGTGATGAGATGAAAATGCATATATGAAATGTGCTGCAGCTTTGTTTGCATGATGATCAAAATTTTCATTGTGTAATTTACAAATTTGAAGGGCTGAAATTGCTCATCATATGAGTTCGTTTACTGGATTTGCAGCACCATGGTTTCATAAAAGCTTACAGAAACTTGCTATTTACAAAATGAACCATTCTTTTTCATCCATTTTTGAAGTTCTCACTCAAATGTCAAAATTGATGGTAAAACCTCAACTCAACTACATTTGTAAATATCAATGTTTCGGGCCGTTATGTGATTATTCTTTTCTAAGATAATTATAATAATTAATTAACTGAAAGAAAAGTTGTGCTCAGTTGCTAGATTTATTCTGATCACATAATCTATTTTTTATATTATTTTATGATGGAATACAAAAATTTCATAATTTTTTTTAGGGTCTGTTTGGGGGCAGCTGTGACTTATTAAATGATTTGCTGATAAGTTAGGTGTGATGACTATTATAAATTTTTATTTTTTGTAAAAGTCAGACTGCAGCTAAAAAGCTGCTACCACGCTTAGATATGTGCGGTGTGAAAACACATAAACTATCAAAACGCAGTTTACCCAAACAGACAATGTGTGTTTTTAAATCGCCACCGCACCAAATAAATTGCCTCAAACGGGCTTTTAGATTGTAGCACGGAAATGTGAAAATGTGTTTATTTATCCATTTAAAGATAATTTGTTTTTTCTCTAGGCTGAGATGGCAAATACTGGCCTTTTTTAAAAACTAGATTTGACAAAAAGCTTATTGATTTTTTAAAGCATTAAATTAGTGAAAATTTAACTAAAAATTAGTTAACTTTGTGTGATTCAGAGTCAAATTGACTTTTTTTTTTTTTTTTTTTTTTTTTTTTTTTTTTTTCATTTTGTCATTTGGGGTGGGCGTTGAAAGTGAAGCCAAATAAGCCCCATTGGAAAAGCAATTTTTGATTAAAAAAGTTGACTTCAGGTAAATATCTGCAACAATTACAATTTCTGCCATAAAAAATAACATATGGAGTTCCGTTAATAAGTCAAACTTAAGTAATTGAAAGCTTGTTAAAAAAAAGGGAATAATAATTTTGAAATGGTAAACATTTCAAGAAATAATTTTGTAAAAATTTCACTTATTCAAATGGGGGCATAAGAAATTTTTCTTGCTCGTGCTATCATCTGGAGATTAAGGTTTGTTTAGGATAGTTTTTTGTCTGTTTTGTGTTTGAGAACGTCACTACAGTTTGGTTTAGGTTTTTCTTTTTGAGAAGATGCTGACTTTCTGATGCTTGCGAAAGTTTTTGTGAGGTGAAGCAGCACGTGCAAAGCATCTTCCGAAGTTACGTACAAGAATGATAATTTTTCACCATTTTGAACCGCGTATAACTCTTTTTCATTCTGTCAACACTGTGTTTTAAAAGAACTTCGTTGAATGATGAAAATGTTTTAAAAGAAGCCTTACTGAACCATTTTCTTTTGCTTTTCAGAAATTTTAATAATGAAAAATGATTCTTTTTAATCCAACCTCTTAAAAAATGGTGCTCATAAGATAAGAGTAATTTAAATATTATATATATATATATATATATATATACACACACACATATCATTCTCACATTAATTTTTTAGGAATTATTTTTCTCCACATTTAGTGGGTCCCGCAGCTGATTCGACGTGGCTTTCCGCGTGGCACAGCTTAATGGGGCCCACAAGGTGCTTTTGTCGGCCAGCTCATACGTTTCTTATGGATGGATGGATGGATGGATGGATGGATGGGGATGATAGCGGGCACATACATGCATGAGATTTTATGTGAGTGGACTCGTGTCAGCGTTGAGACCACGCTGACTACCAGGCACGGAATATGTTCCAAAATGTAGGCCCCACAGACATCTGATCCGTCCGTTGCATTATCATGTCCGGACTAAACGTCCATAGCCTAAAGACTGGACATTTTAGATATATATATATGTATGTATGTATGTATATATGTATGTATGTATGTATATGTATGTATGTAATTTTATGTTTAGAACACTTCCTCTATTCATAATTTTCACTATTGAAGAATATTAGCAATAATGATGTATGTAATATGGAAAATTAAAGAGGTATTTACACACATATGATCCAATTATTATGTATTTTTATCTCTAGCATCTGAATTTTAATTTTTTATATTTATATTACTCAAATCTTTCAATTCACTTAAAAATATCACTCGCTATCTTAAGTTTCAAAAAGTGAAATATATATATATATATATATATATATATATATATTTATGCAAAGATAAGGTCTATATATATGCAAAAATTAAAGTTTAGTTCTTAGATACGTAAATACATATTTATACTAATTTATTTCACTATAAAGCACATGAAATGAAATATTATAATTTGTAAAATTATTATTTTAAAATTGACCTATAATCATACTATTTCATAATGTGATTACATATTAAATTTCATAAACAATGTTTTCCTATAATGGCAACTATTCCATGATTTTAATTTCAAGGTCAAAATTTTTTAAAATCTAGATATTCATGTGCTTGAATATGAAGCATATTGGTAGAAAATAAAATGAGAAGTCCTAAGATGATAGATTTCCTCATCACACCAAGCAACTAATAAAAAGGTGTGAATATTAATGGTATAGCTAAAATATTTAAATTTTACTAATTATATAAATAATTTACAAATTTCAGAAGGGGCAATTGTTCACGTTGGACATAACATGGTTCCACTGTGTTTAAATAATCATTTTTACTCCTAGTTATTTATTTTCTATTCAAAATATCTTAAAAAAATCACCCATAAAAATTGATTATTGATGCATGTTAGAAAATTTGCGAGGGTAGTAGAAAGCATATTATCTTCTTTGTGTGGTATGATGATTCAACACACACTCAAAAAATAGAAATCAACCAATAATGATATCATAAGTTTTTATGTGCAAATCACGGAAAGAGAAAAACCACGGAGTCTGACTCAACTGAAGAGTTTCACTATAAAAAGATGATTAAAGTTGCAACCACTTATCTCATAGAAAGAAAATTGTTGATAGGTTTAAAGTTAGAACGTCGACTGGCGGCGACCAATAACGATTGACGGCGTTCTGTCGGTGGTGGCAGACGACAGTGGATGGTGGTTGACAGAGGTGGTGATCGACGGCGGCCGACGGTGGTCGAAAGTGGTCGGAGGTGGTCAAAGGCAGTTGACGGTGGTCGATATGGTCAACAGCAGTCGGCAATGGACGACGGCAGCAGGAGTCGGATGGAGCTCTATTTATAGAGTCCCGGGTGCAATAAATAAGGGAATATAAACCACTTTGATTGGACGGCATAGAGGACCTCCATCAATCATATAATGTTTGATAGGCATTTGAGTGACTTAATGATGTAAGAATTAAGCGAACTTGGGCTCATTGGATTCGTCTGACCATGACACTCAATTCAGCTATAGATTTTCCAGATTTGACTTTTATTTGACCTCCCAAATGTGTCCGGAAAACTTCTAAACATGGTTAAATAACTTGATCTGGGCTCGATTTGGTGCAGATTGGATCAAAGTTAGTATCATTGGGTTCGTCTCTTCGAGCTGGTCAATTGACTATAAGATCGTTGAAATCAAAGCTCTAGATGACTTTTTATCTTGGTTTGAATATTTCTTGCTAAAAAATTATCTCCACATTTGTGTCAAATTATGAAGATTAGTTGAAGTCGAATGAAAAAAAAAAAACCCTAAGATTGTCACATTGATTGAAAACTTAAGGAAGATTGTTTTTCCTCTTTACTTGAAATTTAAATTTTGTATATATATATATATATATATATGACTTAGGCCTCGTTTGAGAAGCCAGTGAAGCTTTGTTTCATTGCAGTGAATGTCGACATATGGATTTAATTTCATGCGGTAAACCAACATTTTCCGAAGTTGTTTCAGCATAACGATAATTTTTCACGGTGTTAGCTGCACAAGCGACTTTTGAAACAGCTTCGCTGAACGACGAAACTCCTTCAAATGAGCCCTTATTGAGATGTGAATCTTTTAACAACTCGATCTTATACATCAAGGAAATATGTAATATGCTAATTAGCCTCAAGAATTGGGGAGAATACATGTTGTGCATGCAAATTGAGGTATCTCATGAGTGCCCATAATTCTAATTTTATTGCTTGGTTTCATGGAATTTATCGAATTAATTCTTTGTTCGGTACCATTCAACATGAAAGTAAAAGGCTTTTTTTCAATAATCCTGTAGGAAATTTTATTTCATCAAAAAAATAATTATAAGGTGTGGCCAATAATTCTACTGAAACCCCCCACACAAACAACTCACCCAAAAAACAAATAAAAACCTAAGAACCGTTGGCCACGAATACAACTAACGCAAGAAAATACATTAGAAAAAATTATCAATATGAATATAAGAAATATTTAAACAATCACCTTTAATCAACCGAGAAAGCTCTAATGGAACAATAATAGAAAAATTAAACTTCTCAGAATCCAACCCTCTTTTCGCAGCCCAATTAGCACACTAGTTACCAACACAATGAATAAACATCCACTGAACCTATACATACTCAAGTAAAGCAAAGTTTTTTTTCATATGAATAATAAAAAACCGATGATGCTCCTTTCTTACTGCAATAGTTCCACAACACTAGAGAATCTATTTCAATCCCAATATTATCCGAACCGCATATAACAACCAAAAATAGAGCCATGATTAGTGTCTCAGCTTCAGCATAGATAGGAGAAACAACAGAAACCGATGCAGAAAACCAAAGTAAGCAAACACCCATGGAGTTTCAACAAACTCCACCAGAACCAACAAACAAACTATTCCAACTACCATCTGTATTGAGTTTCAAAACACTTTTCTCAAGTTCTTTCAAAACATAAAACTAAAAAGCTTATATAAATACAACCAGTGTTCTTAGAAAATACCACATCTCTTACCATAAAGTTTTGATAAATTATAGTAAGCAAGAACATTTATAAGTCCGGACAATAAATTGAGCTATTAGCAAAATCTCTAATACTCCCCTCAAGAAGTTATATATATATATATATATATATATATATATATATATAAACATCACAATCTTCATTATTACTTTAGTTATTATTGTTCTTTTTAGAGCACTCGACGCAGATATAAAGAGGAAGCTTGACACACAAAAAAGGTGGCGCTCTTTAGATTCCAAAATGCATGTCATCACTTCACTCAAAGCAATTCAATATGGAGACCCACCATGAAGAAAAAGGCAATCATCAAAGATGTTAAAGAAAGGTTTGCTTCTTGCGATTAAAGTTCAATTTATCAATTTTTTTCATTATTTTCTTTTAATTGACACTTTTATTTTTCAATTTTATCATCACTTTTTTTATTATTTTTTATTTTTGTAAGATTTTATACTGTGATAAATAATTTGTTATAGATAATTTTTTCCTTAAGTGCCACGTACCTCGACATGTTGGTTGCCATCCACAGTATAAGATCTCTCAGGTGGGGGGTTCGAATCACTTCCTCACACAGTTGGCATTAAGGAGGCGGTACTCATATTGTTAGACACATTAGGGATAGCTAGAAGCTTGTATAATAACCTTTGGCCATTCTTTTATATCTATATATATATATATATAACACTACAAAACTTTTAAAAAAATTAATTTTCGTGGAGCTGTTGCGTAACGAATTTTAAAAGTCCCTAAGGAAGTGGTAGTAGAAAAATGAGAACTTTATAGGAGATTGGATGGAGGTCCTAATCTCCTCACAAAGGATTCTTTGGATATGTGGTTTTGCTTTTAACTCTTGCTTGATTCATTTAAGCTACCCAAAGTTTGAATCCAGCCAATTTATTCCATTTGAAAATTGTTGGTGATAGGGATCACATGCAACCTACTGATGTTCTTCTCTTAATTGAGTGGAATTCATGGTCCCCTATTTGCTTTTGGCTCTCATTTTAAATAATTGTTAGGTGCTTTAAATTGGATGGATTGGTTGAATTTTGATCGAAAAAAATGAAGATTAATTATATCATGATATGACAACATTATCATGCATTTGCGATAAGATTTTTGACTGTTGGTCAGTACCAGTCGTACATGTTATAATTTGATCTATATATATATATATATATATATAATGATGTGGTGTTTATCTTCTTTTATTTCATTTTACAAAAGGTGTTGAACTATGTTGACTTGATGCCATTGTTTGGTTTGGAAGAATTGACATATAGGATTGAGTTTAACTCAATTCTTAGCCACTTGATTGGCTAAAGTGTGATTTAGCAACTACACTTATGTTGTTGATAAGAAATTATGTGTTTGTTTCTTATAGGTGGTTATACATAAGTCATGATAATGATTCATATGGATTTTCCTAATATTAAAAAATAAAAATAATTATAAATATACGTTAGAATTAAACGATTAGGACTTGTTTGGATGAACATGGCCACCTAATTCCTATGTGTTAACATATTCAACATCTAAACTTTGTTTATATTTTTGCATTTGTACCGTCCAAATCTCTCATATTGCATAAAAAAATATCCCCATTTTAACTTTTGGAATGTGAAATACACTTTTTCATATGAATATGTAAAATGATATTTATGTAAAAATTGAAATATAGGTGTTGGATATGTAAATATAAAATATGAGTGCCATAAAAAACGATTATATTTTTTGAAAATAACATTCAAGCATTTAAATGAACTATTCAAGTCTTTTATATGTCAGTTTTCTTCATTGATTTGATGAAGGTTAGGATGTTTTTTTCTATAAATAAACAAGTTTGGTTGTTACACATGAAATCTGCCACAAAAATGATAAGCATTCTAAATTGCATGACAATTTACTTTCGAGAAATTCTAGTCTCAGAGTTTATAGAAGTACAAAAATATTCTTCAGACATTTTAAATTAGACCCAAAATAGCTCTCACAGAAGGTTATTAGAGTTCAATTGAAAATACGACTATTTTTAGAAGACATTTGCATGCATTTCAAAACAATTCAATACAAAAAATTGAACTTTACTCAATTTTTTATCAAATATTCATGAGATCTTGACAAACATTGGTAGAAGTTGTATAATAAAATTTTTGAATCCTAAATTATTCTTTGTGGACATGTCTGAGAGTTGGAACCGGAGGAAGGAGAAAGGAGGGAATAGAGAGTAAGTCAAAAATTTACTATAGAGGGAACGGGGAGAGGTTCATTCATTTGTTCTTTTGTTTTCTATTTATAGGGGTGTATTTATGCAAATATAGAAAGGAGAAAACTGTTCTTAATACAATTGATATTCTAATTAATTGTATATATATTTATACTATATTTGAATTATAATTTGAATTCAAATATAGAAATAATTGGTCGGTCGACCTGTCTAAATTCGGCTGACTGAGACGACCGACTAAGTGGCGACTGCGTCTTTCTAAAAAAATAATCGGTCAGCTAAGGTGCCCGGTTATATGACTAGCTTACAATCAATGGTTCTTGCATGCATTTTGATTTGTTGGGACTGCAGGCGTGATCCGTTGATTGACTCTCTCACAATAGTGTGTCAATTGATTATGATCACACGATTGTTTGTTGTGTCTTGATTGTCTGACTGTCATCAAGACCATTCAGTTGCTTTGAGATTCGTGGTGACAATTTTGTATATACAAAAATGTTACAATTTTTGTCGAAGTATATTCAAACACTAATCAAAATATTTGTATTATGATCAGAACTGTATCAATATTGTTATGAGAGAGAGAGAGAGAGAGATATGAAACAATGAAGGTGTACTCCATATATATGTTGCTGCAGAAGTGTTTTATAATACTTGAAAGTAATACAGGATATAATTTTACAAATTAAATTCTATAAGAACTAAATTCATCTAACATAACTAAATGGTGTGTTTGGGGTCGCTTGTGCGTTTCAGGATATGCAGTTTATCCTGAAACGCAGCCCGCGGGCGGGCCGCAGGGTTTGGCCCGTGGCCTGCGTTTAGTGTAAAAATCAAATATGGTTACGGATAAGCTGGCGAAAAGCCCGAATCAAACGGTACAACAACGTTTTAAAAACTCCGCCCACACTTATAAACTGCCCCAAACGGGCCCTAAATCTTACATTTGTCCCGGAGCATAAGCTAAAAAAATACTTTTCGTCAGTAAAAAGATAAATAGTTTATACCTCAAATATTCTCTCACTCACAATAACACAATTTTAATTTACATGAAGTGTTTTATATATAATACATTTCAAAGTAACACGTCAGTTTATATTATATAAAAAAATAAAAATATAATGAATAAATTGAATAAGAAGAATAATTTTCTTATCTAATTTTTCTCAACTCCTTTAAGATTTGCAATATTGATTGATTGTTGTGGAGACAAAACCAAAAAACTCCACCATCGCTTGTATCCCACCCCCCGCCCGATGACCCACAAAAAAAGGAAAATTAAAAGTCTTCTTCTTCAAGCTCAAACTCAATTAATCAAAAAAGAAGGCAAATTAACACATGCAGCACACAAATATCACCTATTTACACATATCACACATAAACTTTCATATTTACATATATCCATGACTTTTAAAAACTACTAATAATGTTGGTATTGATATGATATTAACAGTCAATCACTTTATGTGAAAATATGAAAGTTTATATTTATGATATGTAAATACAAAAAAATTATGTGCTCTGTATTAAATGACATAAATTACGTCATCGACCTGTCTCAGCTCAATCCATCATCACAAATCCACAATCCATTCATCCTTCCATCTTCTTCATATAAATTCCATCATAATCACCTCATAATTCCCCCCCTCCTCTTCTGCTCTCCTCCAAATCCTCCCATAAAACTCCTCTTCCCGATGAAGATCCCTAAACCCTCCGGCGGCGACTCCTACACAGCCCTTCACCATCCCCAGAAATCACTCGACTCCTCCCCCCTCTACGAACCCACCTCCGTTCTCGATCCTCACATCACCTCCAGCCCATCTGCCGTCGCCACCGCCCACGCCGGCGTTCTATGCCCTGCTCCCTCCCTCCCCTGGGACCCCACCCCTTCCCCTCTCCCCCTCCCTTCATCAGCCACCACCAACACGTCCGACAATTGGCCCGACCCCCTCTCCTTTCTCCTCGACGACATGGACGAGCCCTGCTCCTTCTTCCCCGACCTCTCCCACCTAATCCCTCCTCCGCCGGATCCCGAAAACTCCCACCTTGAACTCCTCCTCCGTGCCGCCCACTCCGTCGAAACCGGTGACCTCAATTACTCCCTCTCGATATTGGCTCGGCTCAATTTCCTCCTCCACAGTTGCACCGGCACCCCTCTCCGCCGCGCCGCTTTCCACTTCAAAGACGCCCTGCTCTCCCTCCTCCCCATCCCCGACCACCCCATCCCCGAACCCCCTCTCTCCGCCATCGAGCTCGTCCGCCGCATCGCCGCCCACAAAGCTTTCTCCGATATCTCCCCAATCCCCCAATTTAACTCTTTTACAGCCAACCAAACCCTCCTAGAATCACTCGACGCCGCTCCTGCCCTCCACCTAATCGACTTCGATCTTGGCCTCGGCAGCCAGTGGTCCTCCTTCGCACACGATCTCGCCGCCCACTCCCGTGCTGCCCACCTACCTCCTCCTCCTCTCCGAATCACCGCCGTCGTTTCCGACGAGACTGCAGAGACAGCTATTGCTGCCGATAATCTCCGCGATTTTGCTCGCGGGATAGGTCTCCGATTAACAATCGAATTCGTCCGTCTCACCGCCATTTGCAGGATCCGGTTTGCTGCAGGGGAGGCGGTGGCCGTGGTTCTTACGCCGGCGAACATTCGACTGAATGGTGTATCGGTGCTGCGGTTCATACGGGGGGCGGCGGCACGAGTGGTGTTGGTGGTGGATGGGGAAGGGTATTGCGGAGGCGCGGGGTCATTCAGGCAGAGGTTTGCTAACGGATTGGAGTACTTCGCGGCGGCGATGGAAGTCGTGGAGGCAGGGACGGCGGCTGTGGGGGCGGGGGAGGAGACGGCGAGGAGGATTGAAAGGGTGCTGTTCAGGCCGAGAATTTTTGCGGCGGGGGCGGCGGGGGGGGGCACGGGCAGGGAG